TTGGGAAAATTTCTTCACAGAAAGGGTTGTCCAGCCCTGGCACAGCTGCCCAGGGCAGTGGTGGAGACACCGCTTTCTGGAAGCGTTCAAAAAACACTTGAGGACATGGTTTAGTGGTGGACACAGTGGTGGTGCTGGTTGATGGTTGTCCTTGATGATCTTAATGGTCTTTCCCAACAATTCTATGATTCCATGATTGTCTGATTTTAATGTCCTCATTAAAAACAAGAAATAATTCAACGTTCACTCTAAAAAGTGTGGACTTTGCTACAGGCAGTGATTTTTTCTCTCACTTAGGTCGATCTCGTGGCATGTACACATGGACATTCCAAACCATGGATGCTGAAAGCACTCTCAGAAAGCCTGGGAACACTTTTTTGAGGAATCATGGATTCAGTGCGTTGAAACTCTCAGAGATCCTTGTTTAACACAAACATTGATTTCTTCTCTTGCCTACACAGGAAACATGTGCTGTGCTGACACAGAATCACAGACTGCTTTGGGTTGGAAGCCCAAATTGGCAGCAAATTCCAGAAGGGCTCAGCACGTGCCAAGCTGTGGGAGGGGGGAGGCTTTGAGCCTGCCACCCCCAAAATCTTACCTGCATAGGCCAAAAGAGCTGCTAAAATGAGCAGAAGGACTCCAAGAGCTGTGCTGGGGATCAGAGGGGCTGCTCTGGGTGAGCTGTAGAAATGCACAGCCAGCAGGAGTGATCCTGTGGGAAAGGAGAAACAGCTTGTAAACCTGGCCCAAAAAACCAGGAGAAAACCAGGGTGGACAGAGCAGGGAATGGAGGAAAAATAACAGCACAAGGTCTGCAAATAGGAAAATTTAAGTGTTGTAACTTGGCTTGTGCCCAAAGGTCTCACTCCTTTCTGGGTGCCTGTTTTTTAGAAAACTTGAAAATAATCATTTCAGGTTGCCCAGAGAGGTTGTGGATGTTCCCATTCCATCGAGGCCAGGTTGGAGCAACCTGGGATAGTGGAAGGTGGCCCTGCCCATGGCAGGGGGCGGGACTGGATGGGCTTTAAGGTCCCTCCCAACCCAAACCCTTCTGGGAGTCCATGCAAGGGTTTGAAAGGGCTCTCCCGTGGCCAGATAACAGGGAAAAATCCGTGATTCCAGTTACACAAAAGACAGACAGGCACACACATCCTTCGGGTAATCCCAGAGACGTTGTGCCACCAGAAAACCAGCCCCAAAATGCAAAGAGGCAGAAAACATAGAACTAGGAAATATGAGAGGGAATGAACACGGCAAACAGGAGAACGACTGGAGGAGGGAGAGAAGCTCATCCAAATCCAGATGATGGAAAAAAAAAAAAAAAAAGTTTGGATTTGCTTCCCACCCAGGATGGAACGGGCACAAAACTCCACGCCAGCACCTCGCGGCCAAGACAAATATTTTGTTGGCCGCTGGAAACAGGCGCGGGGAAGCGAAAAGCATCACCCGGAGGCAGCGCAGCTGGCGAATAAACAGCCTCTTTTTAGCCCCTCTGCTAAAGAAAGGGGGGGTGCCCAGGAGAGTCAGTCCCGAGCCCGCATCCCGAGGCAGGACGGCTCCCTACCTGCGGAAATGCCCAGGAGCCCGAGGCAGGAATGCAGTGACTCAGCGCTGTCGCCCATCGCGGTGTGCGCGCAGCCCCGGCCGAGGGCGGCACTGCCGCCTGCTTTCCTCCCATGCTCTTTATAACCAAAGCATCGCGCCTGGCCCTCGGTCCTCCCCGCTCTCCACCCCTTTTCCCTACAAAAAAAAAAAAAAAAACCCTCTTCTGTTCGAGCCGCTCTCTCCGTGCGTGCGGGAGGAAACGCAAATGGCACTCGGGCCGCGATAAATTTGGGGCCGTGAGTCAGCGCGGGGCGCTCCCCCGGGGGCCTCTTGGTTTTGCTGTCGATTAACCCTTGTTAGAAAAGACGCTTGAAAAAATAAGGCTGAGGGTTTTATTGCCGGCGCTGCCTTTTTGCCGCTGCCAGTGAGGAAATTGCACTGGTTAAACCCGAAGGTTTTTGCAAGAACCCACCTTGCTGGAGCAAACAAGCACTTTGCGAGCCCGGGAGCTCCTCGGGGAGCGGTTGTTTCTCCTGGCCGCGGTGCTGCTGTTTGTCCCTGTCACAGCTCTGAATGCCTGGCACCACCACCCTATTTTAATATGAAAGAGCAAAGGCCTCTCCCTGCCTGCAGAGATGCGGGGATAGGAGACAGGAGCTGCATTATCACAGGGCTCTAACATTCCTACACTCCCTGGTAAGTGGCAGTGCCAGGTTAGTGAGCTACCAACAAGTACACGCAGTGAGATATATTCAATTCTGCCATTATTTACCCCAAATCACAGAATCAGCCGGGTTGGAAAGGACCTCTGAGATCATCAGGTCCAAGCCTTGATCATCAAGTCCAGCCCCTTAAAGGTGACTTCTGTCCATCTCTGGCTCCACATCCATCCCATCCTGTCCAGAGGAGCCCTGCTGGCCTCGAGTGAGCATCAGGCACTGCCAGGATCGCTGCTGTCCCCAGAGGTGACATGAAGGACCTGCTGACAGCTTCCTGCTGCTTCCCACAGAGAACGTGTGCTCAGGGAGGGCATAAAGGTGTTTGTGGGTGCAGGAGGGGCTGCAGAAAACAGTGGCCACTGGCCTTGGGATCCCACTGGGTCACAGGCCAGGTGGGATTGGGCAGAGAACTGTTCTGTGAGAGCTGACCAGCTCTGAGGGAAACAGGGGCAGCACCTGCCTGGCCCTGGCCATTCCTCCATCGTTTTGTTCGTGGGTGAGGGACCAGTGTAGGGGTTGCTCCCACGAAGGAATGGGAACAGCTCCTGTTCCCATCAGCCCCAGTTAAAGCAAATTCCACCCTCCTGGCAAGCTAAAAGATGCAGAACAGTGTGAAAAGCTCCACATTAATATTCCTGGGCTGGTCAGGGATATTCCTGGTGCTCCCTCCAGGAGGAAGCTCTGATGCTCCTCTCAGTGGATCCTGCTCCACAGCCAGGGCTGAAGAAGGGAAAAGCTGTTGGAAATGGCACTGGGAGCTGCTGGAGCTCAAATTCAGGCCTGTGGGATCATCTGAGAGGTGATAGACCCGCAGCAGCATCTGGAACAACCTCCAGGGTCCACGAGTAATGCCAGAAAATCCCACTCCCTGAGCCAGCTGGAGCAGGATGGATTCCATTGAGCAGCTGGATCCCATCATGGCTCCCAGACTTCCCTGGTTTCTTCAGGAGGACAGTTCCCTTTGACTGTGCTCACCCTTCAGGAGGAGCTTTGAAGCAAAATCCTCCTTCCTAGCCCTCTTCCCAAGAATATCAATGCAGATTAAAGCCAGGTGTTAATATCAAAACCCAGATTAAAGCCAGGTGTTAATATCAAACTCCAATGTCTCCACCACAATAAATGTGGGCAGATGCTGCTACCCAGGATGGAATAACCCTGCTGAGAAGTTTTATTTATCACAAATCTCTGTTACTGGGAGATCTTTAGGGCTGACACATCTGTTGAGACAGAAACAAGCCAGGTTTGTGCACTTACACCAAACCAATTAAACCAGTAAGGGGAACCAGCCCAGCCAGTTTACAACAGGCAGAGCTAAACAATGTGTTTTGCAGCAAGGAGATGGTTTAAATCCCCAGCCTCTGGCTGTCTCTGTTCCAGCACTAACAGGACTGTCCCTGGACCAGCTGGAGGAAGAAGAAACTAGCTGTTGGAGTTGCAGCATAATTCACAGCTGGTTTTTCATGCAAGAGGAGATAATACACCTCTAAACCATCGTTAGAATTCCTTGGATAGCAAAACAAACAGCAGTGAAAAGGCTTTGGGTCTTTTTAATGCATATCTCACAGTTTAATTCATGTTCTGGGCAACAAAAGAAACTGAGAGGCAAAGCCTGTGGGACTTCAAGTCCTCTCTCATGTGTTTTTTGTTCCTGCTTGTACAGGTGCCTAAAATCCCTCATTTTGGGAGATCCACGCAGTAAATGAAGTGGTGAGCCTGTTCTGAGTAGCCAGCTTGCCAAAGCAGTAGTTCATCACCCACAGGATGTACTTCATGTCTCTCCCAAATCTGAGCAGAGCCCCAAGGAACACATCTTACAGATAACCCAGGGAAACATCCTGCACTCCCATTGCAGAGGTGTTTTGTTCCCTCAGGAAGGATGGCAAGTCAGCCTTGACAGGGCAGTTATTTCACCAGGCCAAGCTGAGATAGAAGTGCAGGGTCCTCTCAGGTGTGAGCAGAGCAAGGGCAGGGAAGGATGAGCTTCAGACAATGTTTAATCTGCTGCCAGTGCCCCTCCAGAGCTCAGGGCTCTGCCAGTTCCTGGCATCACTCCCCTGCCAAATGGAGAGGTGGTGCTGTTAGGAATACAGTTATCCCTCTCAACAACACCCTCAGGTGGGATTTTGGGGTGTCCTGTGCAGGGCCATGAGCTGGACTTGATAATCCTTGTGGGTCCCTTCCAGCTCAGGATATTCTATGACTTTTTGACTATGAATTTCCAACCTCAGGCCAGGAACTACTACAGCTGAGTGCAGAACATCTGCCCTCCAGAGGTGGGATCTGAGGAAAAGAACATTTAGGGTCAGGAAAGGAAATCTTTCTGTTAAGCCTGAGGCAGCCTATGCAGGGTTAGGGTTTAAAAAATGGGGCCCAGAGAGGAACTCACTGGCTTCAACACTTGCTCTGGGCAGGCTCCCTTTGAGACCATCTCCTGTGCAAAGATTTTGGTGCTTTAGACTGAACTAGAATGGAAAATCCACAGCTGAGAAGGAAAAACACAGCTGCTCTGTTGAGCACCTCAAGTCAGCTGGGGCTGCTTTGGAGGCAACGTGCTGGGAAGATCTGTGAGGGAGCAGCCAGTTGAGGAAACAAATAATATTTACATGCCCTGCCGGAGGAACTGGAAATAAAACCCTCTTGCCAGCGAGAAATTCAGCCCAGCCCTCCTGGCTCCCCCCACCTGCTCCTGGGGGAGGGATTGTTCTATAAAAGACTCCGGGTGGGGAACAGAGCTCACAGCAGCGCCTCGGGGCTCTCCAGGGAGTCCTGCTGGGAAACAGAGCTCAGATCAGCGCCTCGGGGCTCTCCAGGGAATCCTCCTGCTCCGGCGCTCCATGGGGAAGAGGGTGGCTGTGGTGCTGGCTGGTTGTGGGGTCTACGATGGGAGCGAGATCCACGAGGCTTCGGCTGTGCTGGTGCATCTCAGCAGGGAGGGGGCACAGGTAAGAGGCTCCAGCCCCGGCTAGTTTTGCCCCTTTCTGCTCCTCACTCTTCTCCTCTTTGTCTCCGGGACAATCCACAAGCTCCCCATCGCTTGCAAATCCCGAATGAGTGGAGTCCGAGGGAGCAGCGGAGCACGGGAGCTGCTCCGGTGAGCCTGGAGAGCTCCCTGCTCCCCGCACAGCTCCGCTGGAACACGGGCTTGGCTTGGATCTCTGGGCTCAGCGTCTCCAAACCCTTTCCTGAGCAGACTTTCCTGAATGCCTTCTCTATTCGTTTGTTTTTTTGTTTGTTTTGGTTTGGTTTGTTTTGGCTTGTATTTTCTCTTTTCTGCTCCGCTGTTTCAGTTTAAAAACCTGTTACTGGTTTGGGCTCTTTGAAATCCAGCTTTTTAAAACCTCAGAGGTTAGAAGCGAAAATGGAAGGAGAGAATCACAGGATGGTTTGGTTTAGGAGGGACCTTAAAGACCATCCAGTTGCACCCCTTGCCATGGGCAGGGACACCTTCCACTATCCCAGGGTTGCTCAGAGCTCCTTCCAGCCCGGCCCTGAGCACTTCCAGGGATGGAGAGTCCCCCTCTCCGATGAGAGAACAGACAAACTCTTTGGAGTTGAACTTGGGGAAGGGTAAAAAAAAAAAAGAAAAAGGCAGCTCTAACACACCGTTAGTCAGGAGAGCCACGCGGTGAGGCTGGGAAAGGAGGGAGGGACCCTATGGAAAACATCACACAGCTCTGAGCCGCCCCGCGTGTCTGGGGCAGAGCCGTTCCCTGGGGAAGGGGAAGGGCTCTGTGGGACACAGAGGCACAGTGGGGATGTGCTGCTGAGGACATGAACCCCATTCCACACCCTCCCACCGCCTGTGCCTGCTCTGTTCGGCTCGGGGCTGAGACGTGTCCGCTCGTTTTCTCCCCAGGGTGTAATTTTGCCTCTTTTCCTCTCCTCGAGTCGCTTCCCTCCTGCCGTTCCCGACCCGGCGGGCTCGGAACGCGTCCTGCCTCGTCCCTGGATCGGCGGGGGCCTCTAGTGGAGGAAAATCAGGCGTTATTCAATCCCTGCTTTTCTCGGGAAACGGGAATGTTTCAGCTGGAAGGGAGGAGAGCTCAGCACCTCCCTCTCTACGTCCCCTCCTCGGGGAGCTGCGGAGAGCCAGGAGGTCGCCCCTCGGCCTCCTTTTCCCCAAACTAGACAAGCCCAAAGTGTTCAGCTGCCCCTCCCGGGACGTTCCTTCCAGCCCTGGCACCGGCTTTGCCCTCTTCGAGCTCCTTAACATCCTTCTTGAACTGTGCAGCCTGGAATTGCACGGGTTGTTCAGCCCCAAAATTCTTTCCCCCCACCTGTTTGCCACCCTCCACTCTCAGATTCTGCGTGTGGGCTTGGAAGTGCTGGAGGAAGGGCAAGCATTTTCCAGAAAAACACTCTGGCTTTGGGAAAACAGGAGCTGGGGAGAGGAAACTCCAAGTCCTGTCTCTGAGGGAGGCTCGTGGTGGGACAGCAGCTCCCACAGGGATCCACTGGCTCTGTGGGGCAGCTGGGACAGCGCTGGGGCTGCCCCAGTGAGGGGGATTCATTGGGATAGGGATGGAAAACCTCCAAGAAACAGCTTCACCAAGAGCTCCTCAGCCCCCAAAACAAGCAGTGTGGGCTCCCTGCTTTGTCCCTGGGCAGAAGCTACAAAAGGCCTCCCTTTCCCCTTCTTTTCCCTCCCTTTCCCTCCTCTACCTGATGCCAGTGAAGGTCACGGCATTCCCCAGCCAAGTCCTTTCCTAACCAAGTCCCTCAGCATTTCCACCCGCTCCCTGTGACCTTCCACACGTTTCTCCTTCATTCCTGAAGGACAGCAGTCCTTTCCTCTGTCCCCAGGCAGAGGTTTTTGCTCCCAACATCTCCCAGATGCACGTGGTGGACCACGTGAAGGGGCAGCCGATGCCGGAGCAGCGCAACGTGCTGGTGGAAAGTGCCAGGATAGCCAGAGGGAACATCAAGGATCTGGCTCAGCTGGATGTCAAGGGGCTGGATGCCCTGATCATTCCAGGTAGGACCTGTGTGGGGCCTGCATGTCCAGAGCCCTGGGAACAGCGCAGGTAAGCCTGGAATGACGCAGGAGTCATGGGCTGGACAGCAACTGGAAGCAGGGATTGGGAGGGCGGACATGGCTTGGACTGGGATCAAAAGAGAGCGTGGCAATGCCAAGCTGATCCCAAGGGGAGGGGGTGGGTTCCTGCTGACTGAGGGATCCTCCGTGCCATCCACAGGATCATTCCATGAATGGAAAAGTATCCCTTCCCTCCCCACCATCCTTTCCTCCTTCCCAGGAGAGGCTGGGACAGAGAGGGGGGGCTCAAAAGCAGAAAGCTTGGTCAGTGAGTCTATCTCTAGTGCAAGTGGGATTCCAGTGGGACAGATGAGGCCTGGAGCAGGGATTAAGAGGGGAAAAGTGCCAGTGTGTCCCACCAGCATTCAGGAAAGAGCTGTTGGGCGAAGCACAGACCCACTGGAGTGGAAGCAGGGAAGGTGCTTGGGTGCCTCAGCTCCAAAAGGCTCAGGACCTCTGTTTTTAACTCCTTTATCAACACTGGCCAAGTGCTGCCACCCCCCCCCCAAATCCAGATTAGCATTCCATCCTGCCATCCCTGGGAAAATCCCTGCTGGGCTATCACCTGCCAGCCTAACCTGCTTCTCTTCTCTCCAGGTGGCTTTGGAGTGGCCAAAAACCTGAGCACTTGGGCCACCCAAGGCAAGAACTGCAGCGTCTGCAGGGAGGTGGAGGACGTGCTCAGGGCCTTCCACACTGCCCAGAAGCCCATCGGGCTCTGCTGCATCTCCCCAGTGCTGGCAGCCAAACTCTTCCCAGGCTGTGAGGTGACAGTGGGACACGACACCGAGTGTGAGAAGTGAGTGACCCCGGGGCTCAGAGTTTAACCCCAGCCTCAGGTGATGTCAAATTTCAAGAATTACAGAGGTGGGATTGAATCACTTTGTCCCTCAGGTTTTAATGATATTTATATCAATCTCCTAGTGATATTTATAGCAGAGATATTTATATAACATAAATAATTAATTATGAGGGAAGGTCTTGATCAGAATTATTTGCTACATGGGGTAAAAGGTTAAAAATTACCAGTAGAGTATAATATGGCATAAAATTGTGTAGCAGTGCACTGTGTCAAAGGAATTGTATTCCAAAAGAAACAATCATTAAGTGGAGATTGAGGTAACTCACCACACAATGGTCGTGGGCAGGGGGTGGAACTGGATGGGCTTCAAGCTCTTTCCCAACCCAAACCAGTCTGGGATTCCATAAATCCTAAGTCTGGCATGGGCAGAGTTAAGCAGTGGAACATCAAGGGTTAGTTTGGCTTTACTTCAGATTTTTAACTCCCTGTAATCTGGAGGTGTTCCCGGTCCTAACAGCCTGGGAAACTCCTCTGGCAGGAAAAGGTTTGGCTCCTATTGAGCAGGTTTTAAAGCAGGGACCATCACCTCTTTTCTCTCAGGGTGGATTGATTCCCTCCTCCCTTACAGGTGGCCCTACGCCAAGACTGCCGAGTCCCTGCGGGAGCTGGGCTGCAAACACGTCAACAGCCACGTCACCGAGATCCACGTGGACCCCCGGAACAGGCTGGTGACCACCAGTGCCTTCATGTGCAACGCCCCCATCCACGAGATCCACGACGGCATCGGCAACATGGTCAGGGAAGTGGTCAGGCTCGCCTGAAGGCTGCAGAGTCCGGCTCCTTCCCCTCTCACACCCACGTGTCAGCTGGAAAAGTGCCACCCAGCTGGAGTTGTGTCCCCTCCCCGCCCTTCCCAGAGCGCCGGTGGCTGCTGAGGAGGGACACTCTGGAGTTGGGGTGTTCTGCCACGGCAGATGGGCAGGAATGGGGGTGTGGGCACACACTGAGCTGGCACAGAGTCAGAGAGTGGGTTGGGTTGGGAGGATCTCAAAGCTCACCTTATCCATGGGCAGGGACACCTTCCACGAGCCCAGGCTGCTCCAACCTGGCCTGGGACACTTCCAGGGATGGGGCAGCCACAGCTTCTCTGGTGCCAGGGCCTCCCCACCCTCCCAGCCAAGAATTCCTTCCCAATATCCCATCATCCAGGGCCCCCCATCTAACCTGCCACACCAGGGCTCCAGTTCAGTCCCTCCCACCCCCCCAGTTCCCAGAACAGGGGAATTGTGGCAAAAAGAAGGAATGTGGTTCTGCTCCCAAATAAAACCTGCTGGTTTTCCATGGGCTGAACTCCACTGCTCATTCTCCTTTCCCCCTGGATCAGGATGTACTCTCAGTGCCACTGGTGAGCCAGGGAGGGGGAAAAAACCATACAGGAAAAAATCCAAACCAGTGTCCAGGTCCAGTGGGAAGAGGGGGAATTCTCTGGTATAAACAGAACCAGAGAATTCCAGGTTGGAAGCACCTCAAGGCTCAGCTGCTCCAACTACCTGTCCAGCTGGATCTTAAAACTCCCCAAGGCTGGGCCATCCAGCACTTCCCTGGGCAGGTTATTGCCATGGCTGATTGTTCTCATGGTGAAAATTGTCCCTTGGGAATCTCCCCAGGAAAAACCTGTGCCCATTACCCCCATCTTTTGAAAGGGAGTGAAAAGGGAGTTTCCATCTTTGTATCCACCCTTTAAATACCAGACCATGGGGGTAAGTTGTCCCCTAACTCTCATCTGGCAGCTCTGGCACTTTTCCTTTGGCAAGGGAGACCTTTGACCACGTGAACTGAACACAAGTTAAACTGCAGCAATTTATTTACTTTGAGTTTAAAGAATATCCTAAAAAGGTGGGGGAGGAGATAATCCCTATAAAACACATTATAAAAAGCTGATCCCTGCAAATACAAAGAGTTCACTGGGCCCAAACTCCACGTGCTGGGGAACAGAGATTGGCCCCTTGAGTTCTCTCCTTACCAAACTAAAATAGTTTGACAGTTTGGTTTGGTTTTTTTTTAGTCAGAAAAGGATCAAAATCCCGCCCCAAAAATGTGATTTGTGCACTGAAAGCAGCGTAAACATCTCCCAGTCCCTAAGCAGCAACCAGCACATAAACAGGGTGGGGAACTGCTCACAAACACCTTTAAAATCATCCACTTGGAACAAAACTGACCCTTTTTTTTGTGCTGAATCAAAGGAAAGAAAAGACTGGGGGACAAAATGAGGCACCCACACAATGTGTGCAAAGGAATAAATCCAACTGGGCTTCAGTACAGGCTGGTCTTCTTCATGATCCGCAGGAATTCCTGCTCGTCCACTTCCCCATCCCCGTCTCTATCTGCCTCATCGATCATCTCCTGCAAGAGATTGGGGAGCAGGAGTTAGATGTGGGTTGGAATGATTGGATTCAGCAGGATTAGAACCCGTTTTTGGGAAGCTGTGTGGGCTCAACCTCAAAACCCTGCACTGATGGACACAAACTCTTCCTGCTAGAAAAGAGGGGATTTTCCCATGGCTCCAGCAGGAAGATCCCACATTCCCCAGGGACAAACCTGCAGCTCCTCATCTGTGAGGTTTTCCCCCAGTTCTTTGGCCACCCGTTTGAGGTTTTTGAAGGAGATTTTGCCCGTTTCGTCATCGTCGAAGAGTTTGAAGGCCTTGAGGATTTCCTCCTTGGAGTCTTTTTCAGCCTGAAAAAAAGGAAGGGGAGAAGGAAGTTTGAGGAGAAAAATCAGGAGGGGTTGTGTTGTAGGGGAACACTCCAAATAAAGTTAGAAAAGATTTGATAGGCTGAGAAACCTTTAAGTGTAAATTGAAAGGAGCCCAGTCAGCAGGAATTGCACATCAAGGCTGAAGGGAGACAGAGACACAGCCAGAAACCCAAAAGGAAATGAATCACACATTAAAATTGCCTTTAATTTGATTTTTACCACTTCCATACCATTTTCTGGGCCATCACTGCCAAGAAGTCATCGAAGCTGATTTTTCCTGTCCCTTCCTTGTCGATGTCTGAGATCATTTTCTTGATCTCTTCTTTTTTAGGTTCAAACCCCAGGGCCCTCATGGCCACCTGGAAGGACAAAATCAGTCATTAAAAGTGCACAAACCCTTTTTCGAAGGTTTAATAATATGAAGAAGAAGCCTAAAATCCTCAAAAAGACGGAAAACCACCTTTGCAATGTGCACGAACACTTTTTTTGAGGGAAGAAGAAGAAGGAGGAGAAGGAGGAGGAGAAGCATGAAATCCTCAGCAAGACAAGAGGGGAAAACCCCACCTTTTCAATGTGCACAAACCCTTTTTTTGGTGTTTTACTGACAGAGAAGGAGTCAGGACAGAAAACACAGAGCTCTCCGTGGATTTTGGGCAGCCTGGCCCCAAACACACCTGAGAACAGCAGGAGAGAGCTGCAACAATGTGCCTTTTACCAAGCCGGTTTTAATGCTGGGGGGAGAAGGGGGAAAGCAGGGAAGTCGTGTGCTGCTGGTGGTGATTTTGGTTTCTAATACCGGCAGTCCTTGGCTTCCAGCCGCACCTTGAGCTCCTTGACATCGATGCAGTCGCTGCCGTCGGTGCGGAAGAGCTCGAAGGCCTGGCGGATCTCCCGCTGCTGCTCCTCGGGCAGCTCTGCTTTGGGACTCGCCTTCTTCCTCTGGGCAGCGGCCCCCAGCGCCGGCTTCTTAAAGCTGCAGGCCTTGGGACGGCACGGGGGTCAGGGCAGGGTGTTAGTTCCCTCAGGGCCATCTCGGGTCCCCTCACAGCCCCTCAGACCCTCATGGCTCCCTCACGGTCCACTCAGGTCCTTCACGGTCCCTCAAAGCTCCTCATGGTCCTCTCAGGTCCCTCATGGACCACTCAGGTCCCTCACCTCCATTACAACCCTCTCAGCCCCCTCATGGCCATCCCAGGTCCCTCACAGCCCCCTCAGGTCCCTCACGATTCCCTCAGCCCCCTCAGGTCCCTCACAGCTCCCACACATCCCTAACGGACTCCTCAGATCCCCTTACAGTCCCCTAAGGTCCCTCATGGACCCCTGAGCCCCTCAGGGCCCCTTCAGGTCCCTTAAACCTCCCTCAGCCCCTCATGGTCCCCTCATGTCCCCTCACAGCCCCCTCAGGTCCCAGAGAAGCTGTGGCTGCCCCATCCCTGGAAGTGTCCAAGGCCAGGCTGGACAGGGCTTGGAGCAACCTGGGCTGGTGGAAGGTGTCCCTGCGGTGGGATGGGATGAGCTTTAAGGTCCCCTCAAACCCAAGCCATTTGATGATTCCACACATAGGTGGAATTTGCCACCAGAATATGTCTCCTACAAGGGACGGCTTTGATTCTGTGATGCTGTGACTTCAACCAAGGCTGTGGGACTCCACGTCCCCCGTCCTCTCCCAGTCCAGGAGCATCCCGGCAGTGTTTCCGTACAGTTGCTATCATCATCCAGCAGTGCTCCAAGGAGGGAGCCAGGAGTGATCTCCCTCATTAACACTAATCCAGAGAGGAAGCCTCGCCAAGCAGCCCTTTATAACCCAGTCTGCTCACAGTCCCCTCAGCCTCTCAAGGCCCCCTCAAGTCCCTTTACAGCCCTCTCAGCCCCCTCAGTCTCTCACGGACCCCTCAGGTCCCCTTACAGATCTCACAGGTCCCTCACGGCCCTCTCAGCCCCCTCACGGTTCCCTCAGGTCCCTCACAGCCCCTCAGTCCCCTCACAGCCCCTCAGTCCCCTCACGGTTCCCTCAGCCCCCTCACAGCTCCTCGGTCCCCTCACAGCCCCCCAGGTCCGTCCCCTCCCTCACACCCTCCCCACTGACCATCCCTCGCCCTTCGCTCCCGGCGGCCTCAACGCCTCGCCCTCCCATTGGCTGGCGCCCCCCACGCCGTTGCCCCGGCAACGCGCGCTCCAATCGGCTGCGCTCGGGGCGGGGCCGAGGGTCATGAATGAGCGCGTGGGAAAAGGCTCCTCCTGCTCCCAACGCTATTGGCCGGAGGGAGGAGGCGGCGGGCCAATCAGCGCGCGGGAACGGGCTGGCGCGATGCTCGGCCCAGGGGGCGGGGCGGGGTCGGGAGAGTGGGCGGGGTCTGAGGGGAAAGGGCGGCGCTGATTGGTGGAGGGCGGGCGGGGGCGGGGCGCGCTGGGAGCGGCGGCGGGAGCGGCGGTGAGAGGGGATGGGGCGGCACTGGGAGGGACTGGGAGCACTGGGAGCACTGGGAACGGTCCTGGGGCTGCGGGGAGGGCGTGGGAAAGTGGAAAAGACGGGGGGAAGGGGATGGGGGCAGTGGGGAGCGTCCCGCGTGCCGTGGGAAAGCAGGTGGGGAGGCCCCTGGGGACACTGGGGAAGGTCCTGGGGTCACTGGGGGAGGTCCTAGGGGCACTGGGGAAGGTCCTGGGGGCACTGGGGAGGTCCTGGGGGCAGTGAGGGAGGTCCTGAGGGCACTGGGGAAGGTCCTGGGGGCACTGGGGGAGGTCCTGGGATCAAGGCGAAAGGCTCTGGAGGCTGCAGGAGGGTGATGGGAGCGGCGGAAAGGTCCTGAGGGCCGTGGGAAGGGACATGGGGACCGTGGGGAGGGTCCTGGGGGCTGTGGGGAACGTCCTGGGGGAATGTGGAAAAGTCCTGGCTTTTCTTGAAGGGTCCTGGGGGACGTGGGATGATTTGGAGGGATATGGCAAGGTCCTGGGAGCACCGGGGAAGGTCCTGGGGGATGCTGGGAGGCTCGTGGGGGCTGTGGGGAAGGTCCTGGGGACCGTGGGGAGGACATGGGGGACGTAGGGAGGGTCCTGGAGGCTGGGGGAAGGTCCTGGGAGCACTGGGAAAAGTCCTGGGGGCTGTGGAGATGGGATGGGGGCCGTGGAAAGGACATGAGGGCCTTGGGAAAGGAGCTGGAGGCCATGGGGAAGGTCCTGGTGGTTTTGGAAAGATCCCCTGGGGGATGCTGGGAGGGCCCTGGGGTTTGTGGGGAAGTCTTGGGGGGCTCTGGGGAAGGTCCTGGAGATGGTGGGGAAGGTTCTGCAGGCCATGGGAAGGATCCTGGAGGATGTGGGGAAACCCCTGGGGATTGTGGAAGGTCCTGCTGTTTTTGGAAAGGTCCTGGGGGCACTGGGGAAGAGTCCTGGGAATGTGGGAAAGGTCCTGGGGGCACTGGGGAAGAGTCCTGGGAATGTGGGGAAGGTCCTGGGGGCACTGGGGAAGGTGCAGGGGGATGTGGGGAAGGTTTTGGGGCTTGTTGGAAGGTCCTGGGGATTGTGGGAACATCCAGGGGGCCGTGGGAAGGTCCTGCAGGGATGGGAGGAGGGGGCTGGGGGATGTGAGGGGCAGGGTGGGATGGGAGGGAGGGGGGTGAGGAGAGCTGGGGGTGTTGTTGAAGGGGTGGGAGGAGGATGGGGGGCTGGGATGGGGCTGGAAGAGTTTTAGGAGGGGGGAACTGGAGACAGAGCTGTTCCTAAAGTGCATTTTGGAGAGGGAGGAGATGCTCAGGGAATGTGGGAGAGCAGGAAACAGCTGAGGGGGGATCACCCTGAGCCTGCAATTCCAAACCAGGCTGGACAGGCACCAATCCTGCCTTTCCTTGCCTTTCCCTTGCCATTCCAAAGGGCTTCTCAGAAAAATAAACCCCAAAGACTCCCAACTCTGTCTCCAGCACATCCATTGGCACTTTTTTTCTTTTTTTTTTTTTTTTTTTTTTAACAGAACAAGGAGAATCAACTCCCTTTCTTCATCTTTCTTCAGCATAGGGGGTTCAAACCTGGATTTCTAGAAGCAGTGAGGAAGAAAGGCCTCACCTGAGCCATGGCCACACGTCTCAGATTGGTGAGTTGAGCCCCCCAGAAGGGGCTTTGTGAAGATCTGTCCTGCAAAAACACCTTCTCCTGGACACTCCTGAACATCCTGAGACTGGGGATAATTAGGGATCATTCTGAGGAGGAAAATGGGGTTTTCCAAAGAAGAATGTGCTGCTGTTAGTTCCAAAAAGATCCAGGAATGCTCCAACCCTCCCAAGAACACCCATGGCTTTGGCAGTGCTGGAGACTGAGTTCTTCCAGGATCATTCCCAGATATTTTATGGTCCAGCTGAGGTCCCTGAGCTCTCCCAGACTGTTCTTCCCTCATTTTGTGATCCCTACATTAAATACAGAAGGTTGGGATATGGAAAAAAGTGCCATTTTGCTTAACACAGAGAGGATTTGGGACATAACTGTCAGGAGTTATTAATTATGATTAACAATTATAATTATTAATTATTACTATAGTTATAAGTAATATAATTCAGTTATATCTATGATATCTAATTTATATTATATTACTGCATTATATACATAACAATTATAGCAACCCAAGCCAAAGCCTTGTGGGGTTTTGTGGTTCCTAAAGGTGCTCTGGAGATGATCTCTCAGGTTCAGAGGCAGAGGGCAGCAATCTGCTGCAGGAACACTCTGAGGCACACAGGGCAGTTCTTGGGGAAAAACACCCTGGGATTGTGGAATCCCAGAAGGGTTTGTGGTGGAAGGGACCTGGATGAGAAAGGACACGGGGAAAATAATGCCAGGATGGAGCTGCTGCCTTTTGAGGAGGAGCTGAAACAGCTTCTGCCCCCTCTTTGACCAAATCCCACTGTGGTCACTGCTAAAAATGTTCCATCTGAACACACTTCCAGGGCTGGGGACTCCACCCCTGCCCTGGGCAGTCCTTTCCATTAAGAAATGTTCCCCAAATCCAACCCTGCCCCTCCCCTGGCACAGCTGGAGGCCGTTCCCTCTCCTCCTGTCCTTGTTCCCTGGGAGCAGAGCCTGAATCCCCTCCAGCTCCCCCTCCTGTCAGGGAGCTGCAGAGCCAGAAGGTCACCCCTGAGCCTCCTTTTCTCCAGGCTGAGCCCCCCCAGTTGCTGCTCCTCATGGGATTTATGCCCCAGCCCCAAATCATCCCCTGCTCGGCACATCCCATCCCAAAGAACTCGTTCTGCTTGGATGTAACTGGGGCAACTCCACAGCAAAAATTTCTTTAAGGATGTGACACTTGGAAACTTCTGCACAATCCTTGGCTTTGTGTGGTTCCAGGGGGGTTGAAATTCCCTCCAGCTCCACAGATAAACCCCCCCACTTCTGCAGTTGTGCAGTAACAAGAGGGAGTAAATGTGTTTCCAACCAGGACAGAACATCCTTTGTCCAAAAATCTTCCTCAGGCTCAGGGTTTGGATGTTCTGTGCTGGGGAGGTCTTTTGGTCTCACTCCAGTTACAGAGTGAGCAGACAGGAATCTGTTAATTAGGGCCTGTGACCATGGATTTCAAAAGCACAAAAAAAGAAAAAAAGAACTAATGACTCCAAAGGACAATCCTTGCCTTTACCTGGGTGTTTTCGTGCCTTGGAGGAGCCTGAGTGTCACAGGCTCTGATGCAAAAATATTCAGTTTGAATATTCTGTATCATCTGTGCCCTGGGGCTGAAGAAAATCCCAGAGGCATCATAAAATCCCAGCCTGGTTTGGCTTGGGAGGGACCTTAAAGCTCATCCAGTTCCACCCAGGGGCACCTTCCACTCTCCCAGGTTGCTCCAAGCCCTGTCCAGCCTGGCCTTGGACACTCCCAGGGGATGAGGCAGCCACAATTATATATAATTTGATCTGTAAACTTTCTAATTTGATATTGCACAGTATGAAGTGTGTAGCAAGCCAAGCTAGCCATGAGTACATTGATTTTAGGGTATGAATTGTACCCCAGCAGTGCTGTGGAGACACAACAGTTCATTCACACTCTTCACAAGTGGCTTTTGTGGTTGTTTGCTTCCTAAATATCCCAGATTCCCTGGTCTTGCATAAACACCCTATGAGCTAGTGAGAAAATGCCTCAAAAGGTGGAAATGCACAACTAAGAACCTCAGTGAAGAGACAGAACAGCTCGATAAAACTGTGCTCCTGAGAGTTATGGCCCCAAAACCTCTCTGAGCTGAGGAAAATGGGACTATTTCCATCTTCCAACCTTTTGTCTGTAATGCAGGGATCACAGAATGAGGGAACAGCAGCCTAGGAGAGGTCAGGGACCTCAGCTGGGCCTTCATCTGCCCCACAACCCATCACAAACCATCTGCAGACGTGTCCCTCCACCTTTTTGCTGGCTTTGCCATCCGGGCAGGGTTTGTGGGAGCAAATCCTCTTTTCCTTCTGCTCTTTTGGGCCTCTTGGGGGCCTGGGGGTGAGGCAAAGCCCTTCCAAACTCCAGCCAGTGTGTCTTGACCTGCCAGGTCACTGTGATGCCCCAGACCTACGGAGGAGTCTTTGGATGCCTGAATTTTTGCCCGGCGCGGAATTCCGGCGCGTTGAGATCCCGGGAAGTTCAGGTGGCTTTCCTTGGGGGTTGTGTGGTTCTTAAAGGGCTTTTCCTCCCTTCTCTCTCTCCCTGCAGGCTGGCAGGAGGTGCACTGTGATCGGGGGCTCGGGGTTCCTGGGGCAGCACATGGTGGAGCAGCTCCTGGACAGGGGTTACGCCGTCAACGTCTTCGACATCCACCAGAGCTTCGAGAGCGACAGAGTGAAGTTCTTCCTGGGAGACCTCTGTGACAAGGAGGTACAGACCCACAGGGACATCCTGGCTGGCACTGGGAGGTGTCCCCAGGGCTCAGTGCTGGGCCCAGGGTTGATTCATTTCATCAGCAGTGTGTGCAGGGAGGGGGCACAGGATGGACCAGGCTCTGCTTGGGGCCCAGTAATGGCACAAGAGGAACTGATGGCCAGGAAGTTCCTCCTGGACATGAGGAAGAACTTCTGAACAGGCTGCCCAGAGAGTCTCCCTCACTGGGGATATTCCAGAACTATCTGGACACAATCCATGTGCTCTGGGATGGCCCTGCTGGAGCAGGAGGTGGGACCAGATGACCCACTGTGGTCCCTTCCAGCCTGACCCATTCTGGGATTCTGGGAAAGGATGTGTGGTTAAACGGGTGTTGGTTCCAACACTGAGCCTTTCCCAAAGCTCTGACACACCTGGATGCCTGCACAGTTTGGAAAAGGGGTTGCAGATGTGCCCCCCAACCTTTCCCTGGGGTGAAGCCTCAGCACTTCTCCAGGGAATCATCTCAAAGAAGCAGCCCTGGTGTCTCTCGGAGCTGCAGAGAACAGACCTGGTTTCTGCCTGAAGCTTTTGCATCACTGTTAGTTTGGACACTCAGTGTAATGACAGCCCCTGTGCTAATTGCAGGGGGCTCTCCCAGCTCTCCTCAGCAACATGAGGATGGTACAACAATTCCCAGACTTCCTGTGGGTGAGCCAGGTGGGAGACACCTCCCCACCAGCCTGAGCACCACAGCTCAGGGCTTTGGGGCAGTGACCTCCAACAGGGCCCTGGGGAACTGGGAAACTGCTGCTTCCTGAGTGTCCCAACTCCTGGCTCCAGGGAGTTCTGAGTCTCCTACCTGCTTACAATATTCCAAGTGGTTCAGCCTAAAGAGCCTCCAGCTCTGCAGGAGTCCCCAGGTTCTTCTCTGGAAAGAAGGGATGATGCAGAGTGTGTTTGCCCAGCAAGAGGAGAGGGCACTGTGAAAACCCTGGATGTAAATCCTATTCCAGCTGCCCACCTTTATGGAGGGAACATGACTGAAATTTCACAGAGTGTTTCCATGAAAAAAAAACAACAAACCTGTCTTTTATTTCCTTCCTGTTATTGTTTGGTGTTTTTTTCCTGCACTGTGGCTGTTGCTTCATTCCTGTCTCCCATGTTGGATCTGCAGGCTCTGCTCCCAGCTCTGCAAGGTGTGTCCGTGGCCTTTCACTGTGCATCCCCAGCACCTTCCAGTGACAACAGGGAACTCTTTTACAAGGTGAATTTTTTGGGAACCAAAACAGTCATTGAGGCCTGCAAAGAAGCTGGAGTGCAGGTAAGGCTGGAAAAGCACACGGACACTGGAGTGTTTGTAACATTGGCACCACGGACCAATTCCTGTCAAGTTTAGGGCTCTGAGATACTCAGTTGTTCCTTGTGCCATGAAAACCAGTGGGAGAGACACTCTGTGGGTCTCCTGCTTAGTGTTTGATGGAAACTCAATTCACTTCTGCCTCTTAGGTTGGTTGGTGAGGTTTTCTTTCCCCCTGATGTCATAAGGAGAGGATGGGCCGTGTGGTGTTTCCCTCCAGGCTGTGTCTGGGTTCTGTGGGAGATGTTGGATCCAGTGTCCATTTTCTGCAGGGCCACACATCTCTGATGGTTCAGAGCTTTGCATCCCCCTGGCCACGTTTTTATCCAGCAAAACCACCCAAGATTTCTCTTCCAGATCCTGTTCCTTGTGAAGATGAGCAAATCCATCCTAAACCCACTCATTTGTGTTAAGTTTTCCACTGTTCCTTTACACTCTGATTCTCCTGGGGATGTTTCCCCCTGCCTGGGGGGTTTGTTGATGTGTTTTGATGTCCTTTAGGTGGCACAAGACCCTGGGACAGAACCAAACCTGCAGTTTGAGCTCATCTTCTGTTGGCCTCGTTCTTCTGGACTCAGTTTATCCTCTGTAGGATCAGCTGATTAAACATTATTGTTGTCTTTGCTCAGCCTTCATAAATGATCACCCTTCTGTCTTAGGCTTCCAACAACTTTTTTTCTCTCCCATCCTTTGCAGAAGCTGGTGTTAACCAGCAGTGCCAGTGTGGTTTTTGAGGGCACAGACATAAAAAATGGATCAGAAGACCTCCCTTATGCACGAAAACCTATTGACTACTACACAGAGACCAAGATCCTACAGGAGAAGGTATTTACCACCATACTTATGGTTAAATTGTTATTTTTTTAATGTATCAACTTAATCAAAAGAGACTATAAGCAAGCTGTGCCATAAATTAACCACTGAAGCTGAAGGAAATCGTGTCTTACACCACAGAAGTTGGCTCAGAACTGGCAGAGGTGTCACTTCCACGGCAAGGAAATGCCATTTGTGAACTTTTTAAGCTTTGGTTTAAGAGCAGCTGAGGGGAGTTTTTTGTCTTCTCCCCTCTGGGAAGCTGTTTCAAAACCCTGTTTGCTTGATTTGCAGTTTCCAGGTGGGATTGTAAACAAGACCCTGGGGAAGGAAAAGATGGGAATGTGGGCTGAGCTGAGGAGCACACCAGCCTAATTAGGTGTTGTCAGCCAATGCTCTTGGCCATATACTGAAATATTTTTGTTAAAAAACACCTGAAAACTGCCCCTACAGCTGAGGGACATCCAGGAGCTTTGGGGTGGAAGTGGCTGGTGGGAGGGACAGGGATGGAATTGTTGAGTGTCCTCCTCCTCTCCTCCAGCACAAGAAGTTCATGGAGTTCAGCACAAGGAGTTCATGGAGTGAAGGGACTTGGAAAACCTCTGGGTTTTATGGTGTTAAATGGGAGAAGCAAAGAATTCCCTTCCTTTGCCTGTGAATTCCTGAAGTGTCCAACTGATTTTTGTCTGGTTTTTCTCCTTAGAGGAAAGGAGGGGGGAAGAGCTGGGAACAAAGGAAGGGTCATTTGTAAAGATGGGAAGGGGTAATAATCCACCCCAAGGGGATGGCAGCCCAGGTCATTGACTGAGGAGCTTGGAATTTTCCTTCCCGGCTTTTCTTCTGTTCTGATTCTCTTCTTTCCCTGCAGGAAGTGCTCAGGGCAAACGACCCAGACAACGATTTCCTCACCACTGCCATTCGGCCCCACGGGATTTTTGGTCCCAGAGACCCTCAGCTGGTTCCCATCCTCATCCAGGCAGCCAAGAGGGGCAAAATGAAGTTCATTATTGGGTGAGCAAAGCTCAGGCCTTTTATTTCTGGGATAAAACTGCTGCTGAACCTACAAAAAGCCCTTTTGAGAGGGCATCATGTTCATTTTTTCCCCTGCTTTTGATATTAATTTATAATATTTTGTTATTTTTCTTATTGTAATTAATACATATTATATATCTTGTCTAATAATATAATATAAATAATAAATTAAATTATACATTTATAATTAATATAGATGATAAATATATACATAATATATAAATAATATAAAATATATTAATATACTATATTATAAATAATATAAATTAGATAATATACTATAAAATATCGATTAGTTTTATATATTAATTAATAAAAATTGTATTTAATTATATAATAATTATATATCAATATTTAATAATGGAATAATATATACACTATATTACATTCATATAATATATAATTATGGCTATTGTTTGATACTTTATAAAATATTAATTAAATAGGAGTGATTTTTATTAATTAAATATTTTATATTTTTAAAATATCGATTTTTTTTCCCACTCTCTTCACTTCTTTTTTTTAAAAACCCTTCTTTGTTAAGGGTCCATCCCCTCAGGTGTTCCCAATTCCAAAGGGATATCCCTGAGGGAAGCTGGCATGGCTTGAGCTCTCGAAAGAGCTGTGCCATCAGATGGGCAAGCTCAGATAATTCACTGCAATTTAATTAATACCCACTTGTGGTGTGTGAGGTTCTGGCAATTAAATAACCTCCGAAATATCAGAAGTATTTTAATATTCCTGATCGTAGGATCAAAGACCTTGGCCTTGTTATGGATGAGCTTTTAGGACCCTCCCATCCCAAACCATTCCCTTGCTCCATGATTAACTGGACTCTGATAAGCAGATGCATTTTCTGTACCTGCCTCAAAACAGATTCCACACCGTGGGTTGAATCTGTTCCAGCTGGGGCTGAATTGGCTTGTTGAGGCAGTAACTTAGAATTCCACGAGCCAAAACATTCCTGATTGGAAGCCTGTCCTTAAGTGACATTCCCTGTGCTGGTTACCCCTCTGCTTCTGGTTGTTCTGCTCCCCAGACCTGTGGGATCTTGGGAGGTTTCCAACAGGTGCTGTTACAGGAATGTGAACTTTGAGGGCCGTGACAACACCAAAATTCCTTGGTCTCCAAAATAATGTGTAGAGATTCCACCCCCCTGGCAGGGCATGGCCTGAAGCTGCAGCACAAAAGAGTGGGAGAAGAGAAGAGAAATCAAGAAACTTGGGATAAATCTTTCCTGTGTGAATGTCCTTCCCTTTTGCCACGAGCAGCTTTTCAGCCCAACTCGCCTCGGGGCTAAAATTCCTTCTGTCTGTGTTTCCAGGGACGGAAAGAACCTGGTGGATTTCACCTACGTGGAAAACGTGGTCCATGGGCACATCCTGGCGGCGGAAAAGCTGCAGAAAGGCTCTCCCCTGTGTGGGAAGGTGAGGAAGGACTTCAGGGTGGGAGGGGAGGGGGTGTCCCCAGCTGAAAGTTGTGTCCTGAACGTCCCTCCTGGAGACCAGAGGAGCTCCACGCACGAGGAGGTCTGGTCTGGCCGTGGATACAATGAATGGTTGTCCCTGTGATGACACATCACAGAATCCCTGGAAATTCCGAGTTGGAAGGGACCCACAGCGATCAGCAAGTCCAGCTCCATCCAGGGGATGGAACCCGTGGTCTTGGTGTTATCAGCACCAAGTTTTAACCAACTACCATGGGCTAAGCTGGATGAATACACTTGGATTTCATGCTCCCAAACCCCTCGTGGAAGGAAGTCCAGGCAGAACTGTGGGCACACGTGGAAACACAAGAGGATTTTAGGCAGGAGTTCGGAACAGGAGAAACCTGGGCAGCTTTCCCTGGCCCCACTGTGCTTTAATGTGTTCACTCTGTGCAGTGTCAGTCAGTTTGTTTGGTGTTTATGGGTAATCTCAGGCTCTGGGGTGTCAGAAGTAGCTGTTTCTTGGCAAAGAAGAGGCTCATCCCTCTTCATGTAGAGGTGGTCAGTGCAGAGCAGCCTGTCCTGAAAGCTGAGCTCCTGCCCAGCTCAGGGGTGTCACTGTGCTAGGGGGAAAACGTGAGATGGGCCAAATTTGTGAAGGCCAGGACGATTGTTCTCACCTGGCTTCTCATCTCCTTCTCTTCCAGGCCTTTCACATCACCAACGATGAACCCGTTCCCTTCTGGGCGTTCATGTCCCGCATCCTGACGGGCTTGGACTACGACCCCCCCAAGTACCACATCCCCTACTGGCTGGCCTATTACCTGGCCCTGCTGCTGGCCCTGCTGCTGTGGCTGCTCAGGCCCCTGGTGACCATCAAGGCCACCTTCACCCCCATGAGGGTGGCCCTGGCTGGGACATTCCACTACTACAGCTGCGAGAGGGCCAAGAGGGACCTGGGGTACCGGCCCGTGGTGGGGCTGGACGAGGCCATAGCCAGGACCCTGCAGAGCTACCCCCACCTGCGCCGGGCCAGGGCCTGAGCAGCCCTGCAGGGACTTCTTCCAGCTCCATTTTCCATGATGACTGGGATGTCTTGCCATGGGCACTGAAGGGAATGTCACCAAGTCCCAGGATCGGGGAGTTTCCCCCCCCCCCTCCCCGAGTTCCTCCTCGCCGTGACCTGGGTTGGAAAAACCCTCACGTAGGAGCCGTCGTAACAGTTCTTTGAGGTGACTTCTTGTTTTGAACCAGCTGCTGAACTCTCTGGACCGTGAAAAGAACACCCTGCTGTGCCCTCTTCAATCCCAAGGCAGCCCATCAGCATTCCTTCCCTCCTCTCTCCGCCCTTGTCCCGCTGTTTTGTTGCTCTGGTGACATCAGCCACCTCCTCTCAGAGCTGGGGAACCAAACCCTTCTCGTGGCTGGTCCCCTCTGGGCTTTGGCTTTTCTCTAGACAGGAGAAGCTCGTGGCAAAAAGCAGTTCTGCCACCAGCTCTGAAATCACTGCAGCTCATTTTGATTTCTCTCCATGATCAGTGGGTGATTTGGCTCCTTCCTGAAGGAAACCTGAGGAAAGACCTCTCTTTGTTCCTTTGGGCCCGCAGGAGCCTCTTTCTGTTCCAAGAAGAACCCAAATAAATCACAAAGAGATGATTTCCTAGTTTTCTGTGCCATCTTTGAAGGGGCAGGTCCCTTTCTGACCATCTCAGCACAGCTTGGATTTGAATGATTCCCTTGCGTGTGGGGAGAGCTCTTTGCTGTGGACTCTCTTCCCATAACTCGTTTCCCACAAGAACTGCAGTGGTTGGAAGATCCTACAGCACACAAAGCTCATCTTCTCTGACCTGTTATTGCTGGTCATGGTGATTTTTGTTGCTTTGACCACTTAGTCCATGAAAAAACCCTCTTTTCCACATGGAATATAATGCAGTGATCCCCCAGATATTTTGTTTGACATGTAAATTGTCCTCTACCCTTTAATCTTCCTAAGTGCTCCAGTTCTGGTTTGTTCTTAAATGAAGGGTTTAGGGTAGAGTTGGAATTTCCCTCTGTGCTGATTCCTGACTCCTGGGAGTTTTGGTGTTTCAGATTTCAGAATTATGGGAAGTACCTCCCTCACTCAGAGAAATATTGAATCCTAGAACTCTTTGGGTTAGAAGGGACCTTAAAGCCCATCCAGTCCCACCACGTGGGCAGGGACACCTTCCACTCTCCCAGGTTGCTCCAAGCTTTGTCCAACCTGGCCTTGGACACTTCCAGGGATGGAGCAGTCACAACCTCCTTAACCTCCATCTGTGAGCTTGATCCTATAAAATTGGTTTCATTTTAACTTCTGGGTTTTTTTTTTTGGAGAGTTTCATGTTGGGCTTTTCTTCCTGGGAATTTCTAAGTGCTGCTTTAACAGGTCATTTTACCAGCTTAGTCCTTGATGTTGAAGTGACCTGGCCAGCTGCTTGGGCCAGCTCCTGCTGTTCTGGTCTGCACTGGTCAGCCAGCTGGTCCTCTTGGAAGCAGGGATAACACTTCCCTCCCACAGGGAGGTGGGGAGGGAATGGGGACGTGCTGGAGTGGAAGGATCCGGCACCGGGATCACCTCAAGTCAAACCCCAGCAAAAGCACCTTTGGCCTCTAGATGGCATTTCCCAGCCAGAACTGCCTTGCAGCTCCAGTGTGTCCCAAAAATCTCCCTCAGTCCTCGGCCTGTGCCTTTGGAGGCCTGTCCTGAAGGTCCCAACCAGAGGGGGCTCCCGAAAGGAGAGGCGCTGGAAGTTCAGGTGAGCGGGATGAACGCAGGAGGCAGTGGGGTCTCCCTCACCCAGGGAGGGTAACCCTGAGGTTTTCTGGGATGGGGGGAGGGGAAGTGTTGTGTCACACCCAGGCTGGGTTGGTTGCTCTCCCTGTGTAATTAGGGTGGCTGCCAGAGCTTCTGCTGGCTGCTAAGGAGCTGCTGTTTCCCAAACATGAGTAAACAGGGATTGCTGCTCTGGTGGAACCTGACTTGGACTCTGTCCCTGGCCACAGTGCAGGAGAACCTTGCTTTATCCATAGATCTCCCATCCCTGATCCAGCCTCCTCCCCTCAACTCATTTTCTCACCCTAATGAGCACAAATCTCATCTTCTGTTTTCTTGGCCAAGCCGAGGAGATCCTTCTGTTCTTTCCCTCCTGGTATCCCTTTGATGGGACAGGTCTTCAGGACAGGAAGGGCATGGACCTGTTGAAGTGAGGTCCAGAGGAGGCCACCAAGATGATCAGAGGGATGGAGCAGCTCTCCTATAAGAAAAGACTGAGAAAATTGGGATTGTTCAGCCTGGAGAAGAGAAGCTGCAGGGTGACCCAACTGTGGCCTTCCAGGACCCAAAGGGAAAGATGGAGAGAGCCTCTGGACAAGGGTCTGGAGTGACAGGACACAGGGAATGGCTTCCCACTGCCACAGGGCAGGGTTAGATGGGATATAAGGGATAAATCCTTCCCTGTGAGGGTGGGGAGGCCTTGGCACAGGTTGCCCAGAGAAGCTGTGGCTGCCCCATCCCTGGAAGTGCCCAAGGCCAGGTTGGATGGGGCTTGGAGCAACCTGGGCTAGTGGAAGGTGTCCCTGTCCATGGCAGGGTGTGGGACTGGATGGGCTTTAAGGTCCCTTCCACCCCAAACCATTCTGGGATTCCACTCCGTGTGGGACAGGGAGCAGGAGGCTGTGAAGCAAAATTGCCATTATCAAATTTTCCTTCCAAATATCCAAGGCCAAGGTCAGGTGCAACCTGTCCTTGGTGATAACACTCAACAGGAGCTCCTCAAGTCTTCAAAGAGTTCCCTGCAGCACTCTCATCAAACTTCTTATCTCTCTCACTCAGCTTTCCTGGCTTTTTCTTGCTGCAGCTCCTAATTTTGCTGACCTGAGACTGGTTTGGCAGCAGGAGAGAGAAAGGAGAGATCTGTTGCTTATCCCAGAGAAAGGGAGGGGGAGGGGAAGGGAGGGAGGAATAAAAGTGCTTTTCTAAGTGGAATTAAGGTAACCAAAACCCTCTCACAGAGAGACTGCAAAGGCACCGAGCTCAGGAGGGTTGTGCTGTTGAAGGAATTCCTCAGAGTGTGGGGGAAGTTCTTGGCCACACACCTGCCAGAAAGGAAAAGGGTGGCTTGGGTGTGATACCAGAAACAGGGAAGAGGAAAAACTGATGGAAAAGTAGGTGTCCAGTGAGCAAAAAGGCCCAGAGGGGAGCTCCAGTCCAGCCAGAGCTGGGGATGCAGGAGGTGTCCAAGGCTGGGTTGGACAGGGCTTGGAGCAGCCTGGGCTGGGGGAAGGTGTCCCTGCCCATGGACTGGATGATCTTTTAGGTCCCTTCCAACCCAAACCATTCCCTTGCTCCATGATTAACTGGACTCTTGACAGGGATAAGCAGATGCATTTTCGGTGCCTGCACAGATTCCACACCGTGGGTTGAATCTGTTCCAGCTGGGGCTGAATTGGCTTGTTGAGGCAGTAACTTAGAATTCCACAAGCCAAGCCATTCCTGATTGGAAGCCTGTCCTTAAGTGACATTCCCTGTGCTGGTTACCCCTCTGCTTCTGGTTGTTCTGCTCCCCAGACCTGTGGGAGGTTTCCAACTGGTGCTGTTACAGGAATGTGAACTTTGAGGGCCGTGACAACACCAAAATTTCCTTGGTCTCCAAAATAATGTGTAGGGATTCCACCCCCCTGGCAGGGCACGGAGGTTTGGGTGGAGGATCTTTGCATCCTGTGGGAGCTCAGCACCTTCAGTGGCTTTAGAAACACAGGGATCCGTGGCACATTCCAGTGCTCAGCCAGCCTCTTGGGAAGCTGTGGCAGGGGCTTTCTGTTGGCTCTGCAGATCCCTGTCTCTGTTATCCCAACGTGCAGCCACCGGGACGTTCCCGCTCCTGCCAGCACCGCAGAGCCCCGGCAGGAGTGGGCTGGGCTCTGCTCCCGCAGGATCCCTTCCCGAGTTTCACTGGCGCTTGTGCAAGCCCCAGGAAGGTGCCAGGCCCACAGGTGTGAGGGTGGTGCAACCTGGGCCTTGTTAGGGAGAGGGAAAGCAGCTCATCATCCGCCTGGGAGCCCTGAGGAAGCTGCTGAGCTGGTGATGGGAAAGAAATCAGCATCTCCCTGCTTGCAACAGAGCACGGGGCAGGTGCTGCTGCTGCTTCCTCATGGCACAGCTTGTGTCCCTGCCATGGCCTGTGATGGCACAGCTTGTGTCCCTGGCTCAGCCCTGCCATGGCCTGTGATGGCACAGCTTGTGTCCCTGGCTCAGCTGTCACTCGGCCACAGCCTCTCCCATGCCCTGTGTCTGCTGACAGGACCCTTTTGCCTGGGTGCTGGCAGCTCCTGAGCTGCTGTGCAGGTGTGTCTGCGTGGCCAGGGGGCAGATCATTGTATTCCAGCAGGGAATAATCTGGGAGAGAAGGTTCTGCTCGGCTCCCTGCTATTAGGAAGGTGAGGTCTGGCATTCTGGCAGCGCTCTGGAACGACACCCCACGAAAAACCAGTTGGATTCCCTTGTAACAAATGGGTGTAGTGGTTTTTTTTACACCCTTCCACTCAGCCAGTGTTGAGGCTTGGCTTTGGTGTCACCTCTGCCAAAGCTCCCAGGACTGAGGGGTTACTCAACCTGCAAGGGGTAAGGGTGGGGAGTTCCAGGGCAGAAAGGTGGTGCTGAAAAAAGAAAACCAAGCAGGAAATGTTCCAGGGCAGCCCAGTGCTCTGGAGTGAGGCTGGGGTATTGGTCATTGCTGGAAAATACTAAAAAAAAAAAAAAAAATTAATGTATTTTAGCAACTATTCAAATCCAGGCTGCACTGGGGATGGGAGGCACTGCTGGGAGGGACTGACAAGAATGACTTGGTAAAAAAAACACCTTCCCATCTAACAGGCTGTTGGATTTCCAGGGCTCCTCATAGGTTGTCTGTCTCTGAAGGTGTTTGTGCTGCACCTCTGGTAAGGAATGAACTGGGGGGTTACCCAGGCTGGTTGGAACCCCCTGTTTCTGGCAGCAGCACCAGCCCTGTGCTCCTCACATCACTCCTGGTTCTCCTTTGACATTATTTTCCTGACCTAAATGCTGTGAGTCCTTTAAATCTTCTCCTCCTGGGCTTTCTCTCCACCCCAGGAGCAGTTTCTGTGGCTGCAGCTTCCTCGTGTGATGTCATTCCCAGTCTGGCTGATCCCAGCTGATCTGCCCTGTGGAGCCCTGAGGGAGGCAGGTGAGCAGCAGGGAAAGGATCAACCAGCTGTGGGACATCCCCAGGAGAGAGGAGGGGTTTCTGCTCTCCTCCTAAAGGAGATCCCAGGAGAATCCATTTCCTGCTAAAGTCAGGTATTCCAGGCTGGAATTTACCTACAGGTCTTCAAGACAATCCTGTTTTTAAGTGGAAATGGGGGAAAAGGTTCTTTTTTTCCTGCTCCTCCCACCTCCCTGTGTTCATGTCCCTGGAGAGGGTTGTGGTGGTGAAAAGGGGGGACAGGACATTCCTGCTGCTCTGGGCTGGGCTCTCTGGCACACCTGGATGGCAGCTTTACCTGCCCATCTGAGTTTTAAAGGGCTTTTTTTTTGTGTTGATGACTTCAGGGTTTGCTCCAGAGCCATGCAGGTCACCCCAGGTGAGGCTGGGGCTGCCAGTTGTTACCTAAAATCAGAGAAATAACTCTGCACAATTTGAGACCGAGTTTGGTGCCTTTTCCCCAAAGCATCATGAATTTGTCAGTATTTCATTCACACTCTCTGCACACTGAATGGCTCCCCAACATAAATCTGGAGTCTTTATCCCCAAGGCTCTTGGAGAGATGATGCTCCTGCTCTCATTATCTCAGTGAAGAGCCCAAAGTGAATTGCTTTTCCCCTCCAGCCTTCCTGGACACCTCTTAGCCTCTGTTTTGAGGTGACCTGGCTGTGCCATTCCAGCAGCTCTTCCAGGTGTCCCTGGCTGGCAGGAAACTCCTGCCTCTGGCCACTGCTGGGACTTGGAAATGCCATGTTATTAAAACCAGAATCTGCTCCCTTCGTTATGAGGAGGAAAAAAACCCATCAGGGTTTCTGTGCCTGCCGGCACAGGAGAGACATCCAAGAGCTGAAATGGGATAAATCCACAAAAAAGCTGCTTTGGGATGGATTGTCCCTCCCTGATGAAGCTGCTGAGCACCAGGGAGGTGCTTTCTGAGCTTTGTGTGCAGGTGGAGGGCACTGGGAGGTCCCTGGAAAGCCCCAGTTCGAGGTGAGCTGTCTGTCTGCAGGGGCACTTGCCTTAGTGGGAAATAAAGGATAAAGCTGTGGTGTAAATGGTTGTAAATCTCATATATCACATTTACTACGTA